TGGACTCCCCAGCCTCTAGTACTGTGAAAACTAAATCTCTGTCCTTTATAAATTACCTGTCTCAGACATCCTGTTGGAGCAGCACAAAACAGACCCAGACGGATATCAAGCCTTCCCTTGAGGATTACAGTTATGATTTAATGTCTTTGACCTCAGAGTCGCAGATTACCAATCTCGGGCCCTAATTTGTAGGGCTCTTCAAGCCTCATGGGAATCCTCACAGGATGAGCAGGACCCCTGTGGATGCTGCTCAGGAGCCTGTCACCCCTGTGGCCCCTTCTGTACAGATTCAAGGAGAGTCACTTTGTCCTTGCAGGTAGACCTTAAGGGTGACCCTTCAGGGATCATTTGTATCGACTCATCTTCCAAGAACTCAGTTTGAGCCTTTGTCCTCTGGATATTCAGGCTGCTCCCGGGGCATCTCCCTCTCTTGAGTCAGCCAGTGGAGTTCCCCAGCCACCTGCCACCTTGGTCCTCTTCTGGGAGGTGTTCAGAGCAGTCCTCCAGGGCACATGTGGGCTCCCCAAGTGTGTCTCCAGGAGGGGCCCAAGCAGGAACACGCTCCTTCATCCTGGGTGCCCACCTGGCAGCCCTGCTTGAGGCAGCGCTGTGCAGTTGATCTTGCCTCTTGCCTCCCATGGTCCCCTGGGCAGCAGCACCGTGGAGGGGACCCCTCCTTGTCAAGTCCCTCACCTTGTCAGGCCAGCGCTGCCCAATTGAGCATTCTGCAGAGATGGAAGTATGTGGTATCTGCGTTGTCCCAGCCACCTGGGGCTTTTGAGCACTTGGTGCCTGTGACTGAGAAACTGGATGTGTCATCTTGTTTAACCAATTTAAATTTTAGTAGCTGCTGTGGGCACTGGATTAGCCGTGCAGTGTGGTTCTAAAATGGGGAGCAGGAAGGTAATGTCAGCAATGCTTCTCGGCAATAGTTGTGAGCCCAATAACTCTCACTGTATGTCTTGCTCCATGTTCTCAAGAAAGCCATCCTCCTGGGGTCCGAGCCCATCGATAAGTAGCCTGTCCAGTGTCGGGTTTTAAATGCTGTGAGTGGGATTGACTTTGGCTTGTGTTCCCGGGGCATGGGGGCTCTTGGCAGCCTTCCTCTGCCCCCCTTGCTCTGGCTGGAGGCATTTTTCTCTTTCAAGGGTGACATTTAAGGGCTTAGCCCCTGGCCCGTTTCTTGACTGCTCACTAAAAATAAGCTCATCATTTTCTTGGCAGAACCTCATACGCCCTCAGTGTCATCGTGGCCTTTGGTTAAGAGGCAGAGTAACCAGCTTCTGCTTTCTCTCCAAGGGGTGAGTGGCAGTTTAGCTGCTGCCTAGGATGGAACTAGATCCAGGGTCTGATCCTTGAATGCAGCTGATGTCAGTTGCAGTCCAGCCTGATGGAGAATCGGGCTATGTCACCAAGTTAGTCTAGAAAATCAAGAC